GTTAAGCTTAGTATCTCCCTTCTGTCATTCAGCGACAGTTCGCCGGCTTCGCAATATAAGCTTTGGACTGGTGTTGTTCTAAATGCTCCAAGTACTAAGCGAAGTGCTCTGTGGTGTATGCTATCCAAAGGTTTTAGAGTTGAACGGCTAGCTGAGGCGTAGATTATGCTACCATAGTCTATTTTAGATCTTATCAGTGATCGGTATAGGTAGAGCAAGGATTTGCCTTCAGCTCCCCAGTGTCTGTTGGATAAGTATTTTAATACTGTCATTCTTTTTTCACATTTTGTAACTAGGTACTCTATGTGTTTTTTCCAGGTCAATCGATGATCGAATACGAGTCCCAGAAATTTGATTTCTTGTGTTTGCTCTAAGGATATGTTATGAAGCGTTAGTGGTACTCTGAGTTGGATTATCTGTCTTCTTGAGAATATAATATATTTTGTCTTTTCAGGTGAAAATGATAACCCGGAGTGTTTTGTCCATTGTTCCAATTTGTGAATTGTTTTTTGTATGAGTTCTGTATTGGTTGTTGGGTTTTTTCCTCTTATATACACTATCATATCATCCGCATAAAGACGTGCTTGAACTGGTTTTTCAATGTAACTAAGAATGTCGTTGACAGCAATTAAGAACAATGTCGGGCTGATTATTGATCCTTGCGGGATGCCATTTTCTTGTAGTTTGGGTTTGGATAGAACTCCATTCGAACGGACTTGAAAACTCCTATTGCTCAGAAAATTGGATATAAAAGCAACGATATTCCCATCATAACCCCATCCGTGTAATTTTAAGATGATATCATGTCTCCAAATAGTGTCAAATGCTTTAGTCATATCAAAGTATACCGCAAGGCAATGCTGTTTGTTCTCGAAAGCTTCATATATGTATGTTTCCAGGTCTACTGCATTGTCTATGGTGGATCTGTTTTGTCTAAAACCGGACTGCTCCTTAGCTAGTAGATTCGACTTATTTAGGCTCCATAGGAGCCTTTTATTGATGATTTTTTCTAATAGCTTGCACATAGCGCATGTTAAACTTATTGGTCTATAAGATTCAGGTACAAGAGATGATTTGGTTGGTTTTAGTATCGGTATCGTTAATGCTTGGCGCCATATATCAGGAAACATATTCTCAGTCCAGATTTTGTTGAAGATTCTTAGTAAATGTTGTTTAGCTACTTGAGGAAGATTTTTCAGAAAGATAGTAGGTATGTCGTCAGGTCCTGCAGTAGTTTCTTTCAAGTCGTTAAGGGCTTCTTCCATTTCGTGTTCGGAGATTATTATATTCACTGGGTCTTGGTTGTTCTGTATTGATATTGGTATTGATTCTAGCTCTGTTTTGTGTTTTAGAAATTCATCGCTGTAATTTTGGTTGCTGGAACTTTTGAGGTAAGTTTCACTAAATGCTTCAACTATTGCTTCATTCGTTGTGTGTGTTATGTTTCCATCCTTCAAGCATTTTATAGGTGAGTATGACTTGGCTCCGGTTATGCTTTTGATCTTTTTCCAGACTGTTGCTAATGGTGTTGAACTATTTATACTACTTACAAACTTTTTCCAAGAATCCTTTTGACTTTTCTTTGTTATTAGTTTTGCACGTGACCTCTTTCGCTTTAAATCTATCAGGTTGTCAGTAGTTCTTTGTCTTTTGTATTTATTTAATGCTTTCTTGGTTGCTGTGATTGCTGCGCCGCACTCTTCGTTCCACCATGAAACGGAGTTTTTGTTTATCATTGGTTTGGTTTTACCGATGTGATTATGTGCTGCGCTCAAGATGATATTGTTGAAATTGTATACACTTTGGTTAATGTCGCTAACTATTTGAAGTTCTTGGATGTGTCGTTCTATGTAGTCCGAGAATTTCATCCAGTCGGCTTTATACAAATTCCACCTTTCGAATGGTGTAGTTCTGTTTTGGACTTCCGTATTAGATATTCTGATAGGAAAGTGGTCACTTCCATAAAGGTCATCTAGTACTTGCCAGTGCAGTGAGGTTATCAGATTTGTTGAGGTTAAAGTTAGGTCTATTGCTGAGAATGTTCCATTTCCAAGATCAAGCCTTGTCTTTGTACCATCATTCATTATGCTAAGATCAGTTGTATCTAGTAAGTCCTTTACTATTATTCCTCGAGCAGTGTTTCTTTTGGAACCCCAAACAAGGTGGTGGGCGTTAAAGTCGCCCATGATGAGTCGTGGAGAGGGTATCTGTTGGAGTAGCCTTTCTAGTTCATTAATGTCTAATTGATAGTTCGGTGGTATATATATGTTGCAGATGCTGATCTTTTGAGGGACTTCTATTGTGATAGCAACTGCCTCTAGCTGTGTATTTAGATTTATAGGTTTCGCTACTATATTACTTTTAATATATATAGCAGTGCCACCGCTAGCTATTTGATTGGAAGTATAATTACGGTTCTTAAAGAATCCCTTGTAGTCTTTTGGTGAGTGTGTGTTGGTATCAGTAAAGCGAGTTTCCTGTAAGCAGATTATGTCTGGATTTTGATCTGATATGAGTTTCTGTAGCATGTTCAGATGACTGTAGTACCCATTGAGGTTCCACTGCAACAATGAAGTTAGTCCAATGTGCATTACGATTTTCAGGTAATTAGAAAGTTGAATCTATGGAGGAGGTATCACTAAGGCATTCGTTAGTGTTGTTGTCAATGTAGCGTTCTAGCTTTTTACGGAGTCTTGTGCATCTGTTTTTGACTGTTTTATCGGTTATGTGGGAGTATACTAATAGTATCATTTCTATAAGTCCTTTAATGTCATCCGTATAATCTTTAATTATATTTGTGATGTCTTGTGTTCCATGACTGTTCTCGAGAAGGCTTTTAAACTGGTCACTATTCAAGGGAAGGGCAGGCATCTGGTTGTCTATGAATGTTTTGGCGGTTGCTAGAGCGTCTTGGGAGATGTAGGATGACTGCATATCTGTTTTATGTTTCTTTGATTTAATATTGTTGGGAACTGCAAATGTAGGAGGGGTTGAATTTTCATGCGTAGGAGTTGTCGGTGAGATTGTTTCTGAGAAGTAGCGTTTTGAGGATGGGTTGTTGTGAGTAGCTATATATTTACTGCCTGTTGACGTGTGTGGTATAACTCTATTTTGTTGATCCGGTTTGTTTTGTTGGGTGTAATTTTGTATTTCTGGTATCAGCTCTTGCGTTTTTCTGGTGGGGATTGGACTTTTGTCGATTACTGATTGGCTAGTATTTGGTAGATCTACATCTGCTTCACGCGGGTTAGCTATATGTTGAGATAGTGCTGTTCCTTGGGTCTCTGTTGTTATTATTTGTTGATTGCTTGTGTGGTGTGTGCTTGTTGATTTAGGTTCTTTGGTAGATTGGGTCTCATGTGGATTTGTTTGTCGTTGCTGGGAGGGTAGTGGACACTGGGAAGCTATATGACCTTGTTTGTTGCATTTGAAACACTTTTGACTATCTAGCGATAGAAAAATGCGGTAGGCTAGGTTTTCATGAGTTATTTCAATGGAGTCTGGGATATTTAGGGACTGTTGGTTGGGTTCTATATAAACTTGTCTTCGAAAGCTCAGAATATGACTGTACTCTGGAAGTGGAGCACCTATTCTCAAGAATGAAATTGGCGATACGAGTTTCAGACCTAGTTGCAGTAGTTTTTCATTAAGAACTGAGTGAGGAACTGTAGGACTCACATTTGATATCACTAGACGGTCTGAAGGAGAAACTAATCTCCGTCCTCTCAAGATCTCACCATTTACCTCTATTTGTCCATGATTCTCTAAAAAGGTGTCTACTAACTGTTTAGTTGCTAAATATATACATATTCTGTTGTTGGAAATTCTGGAACAGAACAATATATTTTCCGGGTTGACGATTGGACCAAGCTTAAGTAGGTAGTCTTGTAGCTTAGCTCCATCAGAAGAATTAAATATAATCGCTTGATCCTTTTTTGGGTACTTGACTGTGTTTTGAGTAAGTACGTTTGAGTAGGACTGAGCTGTTGTGTTGCTTTCAGATGAGTTTTGGTTATTAACAGATGACATTATGGTATAGTGAAATAAACTCCAGGTAGATGCCGTATCATTTCTCGATACGGTCCTGCTTATCCGCAAATATTTGTTGTGTTTGGGATTACCTGTGCTAGCGCACGCCGGAGATATCGTAAGTAATTATTTCAGATTCTGATCTTATTTATCGCATAAACGTAGAGTATTTACTCACAATATGTTCTTAATGGCTCACACTTATGCACTGGTACTCTTGCAGGAATTATTTTAAATACCCTCTTGAACAACTTGCACTAATAAAACCAGACTTTAGAAATATTTCGAGGAAATATGCTAATATTACTAGACTATACTTAGTCAACAATTTGACATTTTATAGGTTTCTTTTGACATACCTATATACGTTTTTTACGTAATAACGTATTCACGGCCATCTTGGAAACGCATATACAACTCGTAAACTCTTCATTTACTCTTAGTAGGCTCACCATTTCATTTCTTACGCAAAATTTGACACTATTTCTTCGATCAGTTTCTTCATTTGACAAACAAAAATCTTCGAGCTTATAAAACACGTCTAACCTTTCCGGCTGCTATAGACAAAGTAAACCACGAATTCAGATGAAAATATTGTCATAATTCAGGGACCTGTATACCAACATAAAGAAAAAATACAATTTAAGAATTCCTGTTATTTTCTGTACGATTGGCTATCTTCAGTATAGTGTGTGAATCAATTGTTTCAGGTTACTTTTAACCCTGTCATCGAGAGGAATAGTATGTCTGATGACAGTACACTTGATGGAAAGAAAACTGGCACAGTAAACAGTTATATGCCAACTAACACAACTACCACTACTTGTTCTGAAAGGTAAGAGTTGCGACTATACAGGTGATGTTTCAAATGGTATAATTGCTTGTTAGTCCTTTCTTCAAGTAACACAAAGTATTAATCCAGGAACACAGTGCTCGGCTAGAGATTTGATCATTCTATAGATGGATACGAGTAGATATGCTTTATTTTCTGAAGAATACAATCATTCTTAAAGATAACTTATAACTAAACATAAATTACATATGTAAATGAGTTGCACACATTTGTACCAGATTTTTTGTGGATATAACCAAACTATTTCTAATTTCACTATTCTAGGACTGAAACTGATGACGGTGTAGGCTCAGATCAAAAAATTGAAGCTTATGTAGACTTCTCCGATTTTTATAGAAATTACGAGGAAAGGAAAAGGAAGGGAACCTTACCTGAAGGGCTTGAAAATTTCTGATTGGTCAAGCTGGTTACTTTTCTATTGTGATTGTGTGATAATTGAAATTTTAACATGTATTATAAAGGTTTTTAATTAAAATTTTTAAAGGTTGAAACATTTATATTTTATTTAAACTAAATCAATAATCAAGTAGTCGCTGTCGATGGATTGGTGTTATCTACACTTCGTGATTTGGAAATATTTTTCAACCTAGAAAGGAATATTATTAGAGGGACGAGAAATCGTTCACGGACCATAGCTAAAGAGCCGCAAGAAACAGCTCGTTTGTAAGATTAATGATATTTCATTTAATATTACACTCATTATTTACCTTGAGATTGTCAGCTTGCAAAAGTATAGCAGTATCAAAGGAAGAGGTGTCAGTATTGCTACTGAGACTGGGATAACTGGAAAAAAATAGTTACTTAAAAATAAGATCATTATACAGGGTGATCCGTACTTGAATGGGCATACTGAAAAGGTAGGTAGTATCATCCTCCGCCCCAGGAATTTTTCTCAGGGGAGGCCGATCATTGGCAAGAGATAACTTTTTGTGAAGGTGTACCTGCCCCTAAACTATTTGAAGAGCAGGGTGGGGGGTAGAAAAGTTTCCCAAAGTCCTCAAAATTCAGTTCATGCTAAACATGCACATTTTGAGGTTTTACCTGACTTACAATGGCTGAATATTGAACTGTGCATAATGGAATGATTGCGCGTCTCTTAGTTTTTTAGTATCTTTTTTATTTATTTATTCAAATACCTTATTTTCAGCAGTTTATCCGACACAAGACTCAAAATTTCAGGGATTACAACTTGTTTTCATCAACATTTCACAAAATAATGTTTAAAATTGAACTAAAGATATTTTTGGAATTCAAAATTCTGAAGTCAGATTCATTTTTTGTGTTTTCTTATATTTTATCACGTGCAACGCCCTATAAGATGTTGATTAAACCAAGTAGACGCCTGAAATTTTGAGTTTTGTATCATATAAACTTTTAAAAGTAAGTATAAATAACCAAAGTTAACTAAAAAAGAAAACGAGGGGGCAATCAATCTATTTTTCTAGATCACAAGCACCTTCCCTTTTCTTTTTTCAGCTTAATAGGTGTTGATTCTGACAAAAAGTGAAGCAAGCGAGTCCGGCCCTGGATTTTTTAACCATCCGTCTAGTCTGACGTTACTCCTAGGTAACTTTTTTATTACATTAAAGATTTGGCGTGTTTAGATAAAATACCCCGTATAATTTTAAACTTTTTTATTTTCAGATATGAAAAGATCTCGCTTCATACTACCTACCATTTCACTATGTCCATTTAAGTACGAAACACACGGTATTGAATATACAATTTTTTGCATACTTGTTTATTATATGGTCATTACAAACATTTCATAGTCTACCTGAGAGTTTACCAAATTATTACATGTTTTTACCTGTCGTAAGATCTGCTTCAGGTTGTGGCAATGTGAACCTCAGCAAAAATATTGCTATGCCTGTATTTTGAATACCGATTTCCACTGCAATTGCTATGCAGTCTTCTTCGGATTGTCTCAAAATTTTCGAAACTACGTATCCAAAAAGATATCCCATCCATGGAAGACTCATACCCGCAACAAAAATCTTAAATCAAAGCAATGTTTAATGTTAGTGTTATCTACTGGATGAATTTTTGTTTTCGTCATTTCAAATACCTCTTCATGTCCAACCAATTCGAATAGATTAGAAGGAGACAAGCCTATATGTTTGCATTGCTTGTCGCCAAAGTTGCGTAGTTTTAGTGCATATTTTTGACCAGCAAAGTAACAGCGTTGTATTGACATAATAATTATACTTGCTGGAAACATCTGCCTTCATTAGGTTTATACTGGTCTCTGCAAACGGTGGAGACATCTGCCTTCATTAAGTTTGTACTGCTCTTGCACCAGGACTTGAAATCGTCTAACACCAAAATTATCTACAAGCAGTCCCATTTCTAAAATAATTACTCTAAATATACGAATTCAATGACACAGCTGTCAAAAAATGACTTATGCCAAGTGCACTTTGATCCTCACTACGGACTATGAGAATTAGGGGACAAACAAATCTTTGACTGGCTCCTTCTACCTAGTCTGATTTCGTTGTGTATGTCAGATATGGATTTTTAAAAATTAGTTTATGCTAATCGCAAAATAAAGATTAGATTATATGTTTTTTTTTACCTTACCTCCCATGAAAACAATTCGAACAAATAAAGATTTGTAACTGCAGCGAAGACTATCACGAATATCAACAGTAATGCCGTGAATGCCTTCGTTATTTTTGCCAAGAAGGTGGCAATATATTTGTTGTACCTCTGTATCAAATATCCTATGCCCAGGGGTACGAGCAGAGCAAAAACATAGGAAGAAATTTGCCCATAGGGAACCTCGATGTTGCCTACAAATATATGAAAACATGTAGAACGATTATAAACCTATATAACATAAAGAAGGTCGAGATTGTTTTTTATTTTAGAAAGCCCATAAGCTTGACCCTCATCTACCAAATCTGTGAATGACAGTCACAAAAGAAGTAAAAACAACTTTTTTTAGGAGAAATGGTTGAATTGTATTACGTTTTCTATAGTTTCATTGAAGATATTTTTAAAAATCCGTTTCTGGGTAAAACTAAAATTACCAAAAAATGAGTCTGTGCTAAAATTGTAAAGTGCAGTAGAATCATTTATATTAGTGTTCCATGTAATCGAATAAATAGTCTCGGTATTTCAAGGTGTCAGTTTTGAATGAATAATTTCCTTACCACTTTCAAATATAGTCTTTCCAAGTGTGAATAACCAAAAAGGCATCGTAGCAAACGCAGCTATGGTGCTCATCGCCGTAGCTACAATGGACAACCCCACATTACCTCCAAGCAAAAGAGTCCATAGATTTGAAGCTCCTCCACCTGGAGAAGCCCCTGTGAACAAAAGGCCTAACTGCTGATCGGGATTTTCAGGAAACAGCAATTTTCCTAATCCATAAGCTACCTGTAATTCAAGTTCAGTAAAATGTAAGAATATCAAAAATGTGAAATCTGTAATAATTCTGGGCATTCAAGCTGTTAGAAATAAAGGGTGTTCTTAAAGTTTAAACGCATCTTTGAACTGCGTACAATTTGTGTAAAAAATAGACAACCCAGTTATTGGGTTCCAAAAAAAACGCGATATATCAAATCCGGCCCCGACCCACAATAAGGTGAAAAGATCTAACCCAGGCGCCGCACGCCATGTAACTAAACTAAGCTGTTTGTTTATTAATCATGCTGGAACAAACCCGGAAATGCACTATTTCTATAGCAATAACGATTGACCAACTCGGTTTGATATTAGTTTACCATGAGTGTCTTCGCGATGTTACTGATGCTTCGCGAATTTATTTAGATCATTTTCCTGGGCGTTTCCATCTCGCGACGCATAGGTCTGTTTACCTCGCACAAAGGCTAGTTGTAGGATCGTCGAGGTAAGTACAGTAGAAAACCTAGACAATCACGCAATTGTGAAGTAAACTCATCCAGTCTTATGGTGAGGCTCATTTTGTTGCTCTTGACATCACGAAAGCGTTAGATCAGATGTGACATGCTGCCCTCTTATGCAAACTTCCATCCTATGGCCTCCCAGAGAAGCTTTGCAGATGGGTGGCTGACTTCATCCCACAACGTCAACACGGATGTTCCCCAGGGATCGATCTTGGCTCCGACACTGTTCCTCTTTTTTCCTGCACGATCAATCCAATCCACAGTTTTGCTGAGCACCCTTCATACAGGAATTCAGAGTGACAAACTCTGACGAAAGACCTGGAGGTTATCACTGCTTGGAGACGCAACAATCTTTCACAGTTTGATGCTTTCAAAACACTACTGTACCTTGACGAACAAAAAACGTCCTAGCGCTCATCCGGATTCGATGGTTGGTCGAGTTCTGCCAAAAAGCCGTTAATTTCGGCTGGTCGGAGTCTAGATCACCGAGGACTTGATCTGTCACGAACTCAACAGCAGCAGCTGCTGGGAAAAAGCTAGGCTAAGCTAGGGTAAAGTCAAGCTTGCAAATTCAAATAGCAACCTTCAAAGTAAATGTAAAGCATGAGACTGCATTTTCATACTTGAGGTGACTTGGTCATGAGTAGTCCAACCAGTATGACCTACTATAACGTCAGAAAAGTAAAGTGTTTGGCAACCACACATTCCGAGGTCACTTTTGTAAATTCGAATAGCAACGAGAGCTTTAGAGGTTCTTAGACAATAGATTCGTGGGGGTGAGATCCTGCGTCACAGTGCATTTTCAAACATGAGGTCAAGCAGTTATAAATAGTCCAATCGATATGAGTTTGAGACTCGACATCAGAGTGCATTCTTCTGTCAAAAATATTAGTTGATATTGGAAGTTACGTTTTTTACTTCCAAATGACTTCAGAAGATCATATTCGAGGTTAAAGATAAATTGCTTTTTTGGTATCAGGGGACCTCCATTAGAAAATTTTTCTGATGTGTGGTTGCCAAGCTTTCGGTGTCTTTATGTACTTTTTACAATAGGTCTTATCGATTTGGAACACTTATGATCTCATGTATGAAAAAACAGTAAGATGTTGAATCTCAACCTTTTACGTGAATGTGCTGTCAAAAATGGTGGTTGCTATTTGAATTTACAAAATCAGATGTTTAATAGACACCCTTCTGAATGAAAAGTCCAAATTCGATGAGCTAATATAGTAATTACTGTTAGAAATGATAGCTATTATCATGATTGCTTACAAGAGGCTGGAAAATGAACTGACCACAGAAGGCTATGGCAGGCCCTATGGGTCTCTTGAGGATGTCCTTCAATTTACCCCAGTCGAGAGCAGCTCCGAAGTTGATGTAAATCACACTGATTAGCGTAGCAACCGACGCAGTGAATATCGTGTCTATCACCCGCTCTGGTCGTACCACCGTTACGTCTACATAGTTTATTGTCGTTTTGTTATTTTGACACAGTATTTTCGTCCTGCCTGGAAAATACAATAGATAATGGGAGAACTGGTGGGAAATTTTCATTAAGGAGGATGAATGAGAAGAAGTCTGGGACTAGCAGGGAAAAAATCCACTTATAAATAGGGAACACAATTTTGATTGTTTTTCTTTTTAAAACCCACACTGCACTTTTTTGTATTTAAAGAAGGTGTTCAAATGTCGTCCGCCACTTTCCACACAAGCTTCATTACGACTAACCCAGTTTCTTCTTACTCTAGGTCCTCCAAGTTGTCCATTTACTATTTCAGCCGCATTAAAATTTTTTTCGCGAAGTTGTGCTTCAGTTGTTATCGGACCAGCCCCATAAACCATCCCTTTAAGTTCTCCCCAATACTAGAAATCCATCGGATTGAGGTCAGGAGATCTTGCTGGCCATTTTCGAGGATCAGGAGCATTTCGACCGATCCAGCGGTTTGGATAATGTCATTGAAATACTGAATGACGCCCCGTCATGAAGAAACCACAAATTCTGTCTCCGTTGTAATGGCATGTTGTCTAAGGTCTGTTCCAAAGTTCTGGTAGGTTATTGGCTAGAAAGCTAAGGAATCCTTCTCCTGTCAACTTTGGGGGTAACTCTAAAGGGTCAATTACCTGATCGTCAAGAATACCCGCCCAAATATTTATTTTAAAACGTTGTTGGAAATGACGTTCACGAATGGTATGAGGATTTTCTTGGGCCAAGTGTGAGTATTATGAAAATTTAATATCCCGTCTCGCAAAAAAGTACATTCGTCCGTCGCTAGAATGTTTTTAAAAAAATCCGGATTTTCAATGTTTTTGTGCAAAAACCACTGACAGAATGTTAGTCTGTGAGGATAGTCTTCTGGTAACAAAGCCTTCACTCGTTGTACATGGTAGGGATAAAGCAAATTTTCCCGTAGGATTCTATAGACTATGGTATGGGATAGTCCTACGCGGCGGCCTAATTCCCGAGTGCTGATATCTGCATTGATTTCCACGATATTTAAAATTTGTTCCTCCTGATCTACAGTGACCTGTCTTTCACGAGTGCGAATATGAGTGGGCTGAACACTTCCTGTATCTCGAAGTCTTTGGTACACTTGCACAAATGTCCTTCTGTCTGGCTGTACTTGTTGGCGAAATCTGTCGCGATAAATTTGAGCTGAAAGATTTGAATTCTGACGAGCTTCACCGTAAACTAACAACATGTCGACGAACTCTTGATTCGAGAACATTGTAACCACGACGACGTACGTGAACAAAAAAGAAACAACACACCCGTTGCCCGATAAGTAACCATTGTTACAGTTTGCGATCGATTGCCGGTTCGATAAGAGTGATGAAAGGCCGACGCGCTGTTGTCATGTGTGTTTTAAATAGTTAATTTAATGAAACTTACTTACTGACTACAAATTTTGGCTTAACTTAGAAAAACTTAATTCCATTTATTTGTTAATTACCGAATTTAAAAACGTTTTAGATTAGATTATAAAAATTAGTAAAATTGTGGTTTACACCCTGTATATAGACTTCAGAATCGCTAGGGCAAAAGACGTCATGAGTGAAAAGTGAATACAGGATTGGTCTAAGAAGGATTTTGATCCGAAATTTCCTACCTTCAAGGAAGGTTTGCAACATTTTCAGGTGCCAAAATGGAAAGCCCCTCTGGATTAGCTTGTAGAGAAGACCCTCGTGCCACAGTCGTGTATTAAAAATACATTTCAAAAATTAAATATTTCTGAATAAAGTTTGTTTTAACAGATAAATAGAAGCTTGTTCTTAAAAATTATGTGCTAAATCATACCTAATGATTCTCCTTGTATGAAAAAACTTCCATTTACCACTCTACTCAATAGAATCGTTACATTTCCATTAGCCAAGCGGGCTATTCCATCATTTTCAACCCATATAACATATTCGTCATCACCTAAAATTCAGAAATATATGAAAAAATACATAGCCTTTCTATACCATACCTGCTTTTACCTTGAATGACAGTTGAGGAAGCTGCTATGAACTCGTACTTGACTGTAGCAAGTGAATCAATGTGAATAGTCAACTGCTCTGGAGAAAAATTGACAGTATGTCCATAACCTCTAGTCACAAATATTAGAATCACTAATATCCAGGAACGTTTTCCGAACATATTGTCCAAATGTACGAATATTCAGCCAGGTTTCATAGTAGATATTAAATGAAGTGTTACGAGGCTGTTATTGTGAGACCTACCTTGTCATAATGTATATTTACCTCTCATAATTGTTTTGACGACTTTTCCTCATCTAATCTCATCATGTATTTAGATAAAATTGTATTCGCTCGTTATATTTATGTCATATATTCTAATTGATAAGAAGAAATTACTTTAAAGCTGCGTTTCTCTCTGTTCTCAGGGAATTATTATTTTATTGATAGCACAATGCTAAAAATAAATAGGCCGACCTCTAGTTATACTGCTCAACAAAGGGACAGAACATTTTCAAAAAGCCACGTGACAATAGGAGGTTTGAACGGATTGGTATAGATCGTTCTTACTAGACTATAAGGAGCGGTGTGATCTCACAACTTCATACTTGTATATAAGACGATGATCCATTTATTCTCTTAGAAAAATTGTATAACACAGACTTTTCTTGTCAAGGCCTTACATTCATGATAAGGCTGATTAGTCTGTCAAGAAAATAGTTCCCCTGTCTCTACGAGAAGTAAAAGTAAAGCTGCTCTAGGAAAAAACTTTTCTGTTGCTTACGAATGGATGATGGATGTGCAAGTCGTAACGTAGAGTAGTCACGAGCACCATAAAGTAGAAGGTATGGTTTGGAGAGTCAGATGGTGCTAAGTCACATGTAGTCTTCATTGGAGGAGGTATCGCGGCGCAACGGTATATTCAGGAGATATTGGAACCTCATCTTTTTTTGTCATCCCTCCAAACGCTCAAGAACCATGTTTTCCAACAAGATAATTCATAATTATAGTGTTATTCTTTAAAAGTGAGAGTATTTTCAGATAATCGTAATGTTAGACGATTTCAAGACGTGCTAGCATAAGCAGCACAAGCCTAATGAAGGTAGATGAATCCGCCGGTAAGTATTATTATGTTGATACAACGCTGTCACTTTGGCAGGTATTGGTAGACAAATGAATCAAAGGTATGCACTCAAACTGCAATTTTGGCGACAAATAATGCAATGTAAACAGATAGGATTGGCTTCTTCTGAGATATTCGAATTGGTTGTTCTTCAGCAACGCTAGTAGCTCTTCAAAAGCAAGTCCAGCTAGCTGAGATACCTCAAAAAAAGACAGATCTCCTCAGAAGCATGCCCCAATGTCTGCACGAATGGATACGGCATCGGGCTGACCTAACAGACTATTATGAACAACTATACAGCAAATGTTATTCGTGACTTCAAAACATAGTCATGCCTTCATCTTGCTTATGTTCAGTTGTATGTATACAAAATTTCATTTAAAGCACCTTTTTTTGGATCTTTTCTTTCTCACTGAGGATATAAGCATTGATTAATATTCCACCGCGAGGTACCAAAAACAACTGAAGGTCGTGCCTGCGCGAAAACGGTGGAAGTCAAGCAATGATACTTCTTTGGAATGTGAATGTCATGATGAAGAAAGAAGCAATTTCTTTTGAAAGGGAAAGAACGAAAAAATATGTATAAATATCATTCATTTGTTGAGCAGTGTATGTAGACGTGTACTGTGCATTATATCTTAATTATGACGCAGGAAGTTTTTCATTGAGAGAATGATTACAAGATTACAATTGACAGGCTACTTTGTTTATGGAGAATCAGATAGGTATTTATTGACATTGACATATGCTTGAAAAAAGTCGTCTATGGAACATTTTTCCCGGTTCTGTCAGTCCAAAACTCGCATTATTAAACCAATCAGTATAACAGTGAGCTACTTTGCCTTAACCTAGTGTTTGCCAGCGTAACATGCAAAAGTGGATCCTTGGGAACACTGGAGTTCTCGCCGAAGATTATGCAAAAACATTGATAAACGTATACTCCTCTGCTGTATTTGTACGTTTTCAAATTTCCATCATCACAGCCATGTTGGTAAGTAAAATCGCAGTGATTCGCTCGGTAGTAAATCGGTTCCAATTTTTTTAAAAGAAAATTGTTTATTCTTAAAATAGTTCAACTTTCCAAGGAAAGGTGATCCTTGAACCCCTCTCGTAAATGAGGCTATCAGAGCATGAGTGGCCTAAGCCCAAAGTCATAGTTTTGAGAAAAACGTAATTTAAATTTTCGCTTTTTTTTGTTCTTTCTAAATAAGGCATTTTTGTTTTAATTAGATTTTTTCGTTGCAACGGTTTTTATAAAATGTATTTTAAACGTTATTTAAATATTATGGAAAAAACGAAATTTGATAAAAAAAATGTGACTTTTAATTAACTATAAGTTATCATTGTGCAAGGAAATCAGTTGGTTCGGTGAGACAGGCTTTTCTTGAAAGAATGTCTGGACATTTAGGAAAAAACGAACTATTAAAACAGAAATTATTTTTATTAGTCTCTTAACAAAAGAAATAATAACTAATTCTCGCAATCGCTTTCATCGCTATCTCAACCACAATAAATCTCATCGTGTTGAGCATGAGTTGTTTTCATGATTTATAGAACTCGTGATGAATAGGGGGAATAAAACATATTAGAGCCAATAGGCCCTTTTTCTTTTTGATATCAACTTCACGTCCTTTTGGATATAACAGGTTCGGCTCTCCGAAACTGCTAGTAGAGTTCCTGAACACGTTAAGTGAATCAAATTAAACAAAATTTTGATTTGAGTATTTAAAATAGATTTTAAATGGATCCGACTTCTTAAAGAGCAGCCACTGGATTTTCATCCATTCTACTTTTAATTTATTTTCGGAAATTTTTCGATTTGTTATATTCTCCTGTAAATTAACAGTTGAATAACAATCTTTGGCTGTCATTTGAACAACTTTAAAAGGGACATTTTTCTTGCTGTCTTAACAGCGGTTTCCCACAATATTTGTGGCTTAGGCCGCGGTGTTGCTCTCTAGTTGAAACTTTTTAATGCAATACAAAAACAGATTAGGTGGTTTCATCTCTTGAAATGTTGTTAAAGGTGGCATAGGCCACTTTTACCCTAAAATAGATGAACTAATTATTTCTGTATCAAACTCAATTTAGTATATTTGTGGCTTGGGCCACTCTTGCTCTGATAGTCTCAATTATCCCTGATACTCGTATGTCGTATTCTCAGGATCTTAAACGACAGAAAAGGAATTCGAATAACCTGTGGCAATAAAACAAATGAAAATCGTTCACTCTTTTAAAGTTAATATTTTAAACAATATGTTGGCTATGGAATCAAAATTTTGCTTGCCCTATATTTGCCTTTTCAAATGCCCTCAAAGAAAGTAATCTAGATGACTTACGACCGGAGATCTCGGCGGCCACTCGATGATGCCTCGTCTGCCGATCCACTGATTCGAGAAATGGGTGTCAGAAAACTGTCGTACGGGACCCACATCTTGTTGGAAATGAATGTAATTTTCATCAAAATTAACGTCATTTTCTATTATTTCGGTAATTCGTGGATCTATTGTATTTTCTAACATGTCCAAGTACGTCTCGCCCATCAAGTTTCCAGCATTAAAGAAAGGTCCTACAATATAATTTACCGAAAATGCCGGCCCACACATTTATTTTTTCAAGTGTTGTCAAGTGCTACGTGTCCAAAAACTGCTATTTCTGCGGCTTCATTTCTAACTGGTTGATTTTCTCGATTGCGATTACGGCGAATATTAGACACAGATCCAGTTTCTTCAAATTTTCTTATCAACTTGACCACACACTTATCGTTAATATTTTTGTCTGGATGTAACGCATTAAACAATTGGGCAGTTCTTGCAATGCTCCCATTTTGGTAATAAAGTTTTGTTATTTCTACCCTTTCTTGAACTGAATAATAATTTGAAATGAAAGACAAAGTTTCTCTATGACATGCGATGACACTGGCTGATGCTGAATGTCCTTGATGGTATCCATGATTATTATTTTTTATCGTGCATTTCATTATTATCAGTATTAAGTCGAATTTTATTATAAACTTAAATAGCTTCACAACGATTAAAGACAGGTATAAACTACATTATACTTACTAAAAACTTCATGAAAGATTTAAAATTAAAAAAATGTGGGTTTCCATTTAAAAATCTAAAGTGTAACGAAATATCTTATTTTTTGATCACCCTATATTGTACTGCTATAGGTAGAAATCAAAATTGACGAGTCCTTGTGTTTTTCCCAAAATATACCAGGATAGTCACAAATCGAGGTGCTACTTTTCGTTGGGCCACCCTGTATATACGTTAGGTCCATAGTGAGATTATACAAATCATAGAAAAAAGCCATTTAGATACATAACATGATTCAATACTGAGCGGGATCTGAGAAACTTGGAGTAGTATTCTAGCGATTTGGATTTTAAGGGACTGCATTACGTACCTATGTAATGAACTTCACTAAGTGACTAATTCACCTATGATTTCGGACATAGCAACCTGAGAAACTTGAACGACACGCGGCTGGGCACAATTGCTCGGCTTCTTTTGATGTGACCTTATAAATGCAAACTAATTTCAGAATAAAATTGAAATCAGCCACCCAAAAGAAACTGTTGATGTAAATCAAGGGTAAAAATAAAACACCATAAATATAGAAAAACAAAATAATTTATTCGTTAAAATATTTCCTGTTGTAGCAAAAATACTACATATTTTTTCAAAATATATAACTATCAGGAAAGACAACAAAACAATACAGATCAAAAATACTGTTATAACTACGCACACCGAAAAACGTAATGTAATTCCATAAATAATTAAGTATCAACTGTAACTGCTTAAATATCCGAAACAATTCATTTTAAAATAAGTTCCTTTTTTGACAAGTACAAGACATACATTACGGAATAGGCTTATGCATAAGAGAGACAAATGAAAACTTATAAATATATGCAAGCTATAAACTAAAGGTTAAAAATCTGCTATAACAGTTATATTGAGGACAATCATTAAGGTTCATACTTTGAAGGTCGAGTCTATTGCACGTCAACAAAATAACTGCTTGTTCTCAGAATACTACAAAATGTCGTTTGGGACACTTTAGGCACTGGATAGGACAATTGAATTTTATACATTCAAACACATTGTGCGATAAGGTTCGTTGATTATTACATTTCGTGAAGAATTTGACTGTAGGATACTAAGCTTTGTCAAGACTTCAAAAGACACTTTCAGACATCTGAAAAGTGCTCCATAAAGAAGAAATATTAGGGGTTGTGCAGACAGAAGGCGTTCAAGCGTTCCGAGTTCCACGTTCTTTGTAAGTAAAATAGATATCAGAGTCGCGCTGACACAGCGGCAGTCAAACCGCACCGTTCAGTGTTAACGCTCACGTTCTTGCGTTCTATTGTCAGAAATACAAAGAACTCGTGGAACGCCTCGTCCGCAAGATGGCTTTCTATAAGTTCTTGTGTGACAGTCTATAAAAATAGTTGTAAAAATGCAGCATGGCTTAAAATAGCCGCGGAAATGGGAACATATTGCCAATCTTTCTTTAGTAGATATATCCTTTCTCCAGTTGGTGTCGTGTTTCTCTATTTCCTCTTTTTTATATAATCATGAATTCATTAAAACTACTTAATAACATTTGGAAGTAAATAAAAAGAACACTGACCTCTGCTTTTTCATCTTTCTCATAATAAATCTGATCCACCCAGACCTCTTTTTCTTATTAGACACTTCCAATCTCCACAAAAGCAATACTTCGTCTTCTGAAGACGAACTATTGAAATACACGTTTCACTTACGAGTAATCTTCTTAAAATGGAATGCAGTGCTCGTGCCTGCCTCCTGTCTGTGTTAGGACTCGTAAGACGAACTGACCGGACGAACGCGGCATGAACGCTGAAGGCTTGTCTGTCTGCGCGAGCCCTTAAGGTTAGCAGGGCCGGCTACAGGCGGTATGAAGTGAGGTAGCAGCCACAGGGCGCAGTGTCACGTGACGCAACATTCGTAATGTGAGGAGTATTTCATCCTTTGCCTGAGGACGCACAAAACTCTGGAGCCGACCCTGAACGTGAGAAATA